AGTTAAATTGGAAAATTTTAATAATCCATGGTATTAGGATATGGTAATGCACTACACTACACTATGTATTATAAACATTAACTTGAAATTACACAATATTTTCACAAAATACTGATTTGAAAAAATCACAAATGGATAATGTGTTATTCGTAGACTGGTTGAAGATGTAATGGAGAAAGACATTTTTTAAAAATATTTTTACCAAGATTCTGCACATGTGTGGAACGAATTGTGAATCCTTTGCGCGAACGCTTTTATTGTTTTGTAAGAAATTTGGAAATGTTATCTAAATAGAAGAGATTTGTGTCGCACAGCGTGTTAAGTTCATTCCGTTTATTTATTGTCTTATTGTTATAAATAGTTAAAAAAGATCCCTCTATAATTCTTCGTTTAAATAAATTTTGTTCGAATTGTAGTACAGTCGGATTAGAAAAGTCCATATTGTGTTTTAAAGTGTGTATATGGTCTGCAAGTACAGTTTTGAATTGTTTGGGGTTTTTTTAATTGTTTTTATGTTGTTGTAACCGTTTATTCAGGTTCTGGCTAGTTTCTCCTATGTAAATTAAATTACAGTCTAAACAATTTATTTGATAGACGAGATTTCTGAGTCGTTCGATATTAAATGGGGTTTTTGTTTTGATAAAAATAGTGCTAATAGTTGTACTAAAGTTGGTTACAAGTCGGAGTCCAGATTTATAAAAAAGTTTTTTCCAAGGAACATACAATTCTTTAATGTATGGCAAACATATTACACCAGAATGAGTTTCTGAGTCAGGTAAATCGTTATGTACTGTGCTATTGTCCATTTTATTCAAAAGGTACGTTCGTATGTTACTAGTTACGGAATTTATAAGTTTTAGGGGATAGGAGTTATCTGTTAGAATTTTTGTAATTAATTTGATGTTGTTGTCCCAAAATGTTTTGTCCGATAGAAGTATTGCGTGGTCAGTACCTATTTTCATTTTGTGTGGATGATAAGAAAAGTAATTAATGTAACGTCCAGAGTTAGTTGGTTTTTGATACCAATTTGTTATTAGTTTGTACGTATAAGTTTTATGTCTAGGAAACTTATCGAGTTCATTGTCTCCAATTCCACTGTAAATTTTAGCTAATTAGTTTATATAGGGGGGTATTAATGTCCGAACTAATAATAAATTAATGTATTAATGTCTTATGAACTCGTTACTGACTTAAAACACAAGATAAATTATATACCAGACAACTACAAACTAATTAGCTTAGACGTAGTCTCACTTTTTACTAATGTACCCCTAGACCTTATTTTAGACGCAATAACAATCCGATGGAATGAAATTTCCCCGTTGACTTCTTTATCTTTGCACTGGTTCAGGGAAACCGTCAAGTTCATTGTCTCTAACACTTATTTTGAATTTAATGGCTCTTTCTATTATCAAATTTTTGGGGCGCCAATGGGGTCCCCAGCAAGTCCATCTCTAGCAGAAATATCTTTACAACTGCTTGAAAATACAATTTTTAAAAATTACAATAAACATATTTTTTATTACCGTTATGTAGATGACATTATCACTTGTATCCCTAGTGATGATGTCACTATGATAATTGATCAATTTAATAACGTCAATAAAAAAATTAAATTTACAGTGGAATTGGAGACAATGAACTCGATAAGTTTCTTAGACATAAAACTTATACGTACTACGGATAACAAACTAATAACAAATTGGTACCAAAAACCAACTAACTCTGGATGTTACCTTAATTACTTTTCTTATCATCCACTCAAAATGAAAATAGGTACTATAATAAATCTAACGGACCACGCAATACTTCTATCGGACAAAACATTTTGGGACAACAACATCAAATTAATTACAAAAATTCTAACAGATAACTCCTATCCCCTAAAACTTATAAATTCCGTAACTAGTAACATACGAACGTACCTTTTGAATAAAATGGACAATTGCACAGTACATAACGATTTACCTGACTCAGAAACTCATTCTGGTGTAATATGTTTGCCATACATTAAAGAATTGTATGTTCCTTGGAAAAAACTTTTTTATAAATCTGGACTCCGACTTGTAACCAATTTTAGTAAAACTACTAGCACTATTTTTACCAAAACAAAAACCCCATTTAATATCGAGCGACTCAGAAATCTCGTCTATCAAATAAATTGTTTAGACTGTAATTTAATTTACATAGGAGAAACTTGCCAGAACCTGAATAAACGGTTACAACAACATAAGAACGATTCAAAAAACCCCAAACAATTCAAAACTGTTCTTGCAGACCATATATACACTTTAAAACACAATATGGACTTTTCTAATCCGACTGTACTACAATTCGAACAAAATTTATTTAAACGAAGAATTATAGAGGGATCTTTTTTAACTATTTATAACAATAAGACAATAAATAAACGGAATGAACTTAACACGCTGTGCGACACAAATCTCTTCTATTTAGATAATATTTCCAAATTTCTTACAAAACAATAAAAGCGTTCGCGCAAAGTATTCTCAATTCGTTCCACACATGTGTAGAATCTTGGTAAAAATATTTTTAAAAAATGTTTTTCTCCATTACATCTTCAACCAGTCTACGAATAACACACTATCCATTTGTGATTTTTTCAAATCAGTATTTTGTGAAAATATTGTTGTAATTTTAAGTTAATGTTTATAATACATAGTGTAGTGCATTACCATATCCTAATACCATGGATTATTAAAATTTTCCAATTTAACACTAAGATCAACTAATTGTAAGTACTATTTACTATTTTATTTTTTATTTTCACTCCAATTCAATTGTTTTAGTTTTTAATTTTATTTTTAGTTTCCACTGAATGAAGGCTAGGATTATAGCCGAAACGTATGGATTTAAAATAAATTTTTGAAAGAAATTCATGTTTTTTATTGATGTTATGCCCGATTATTAGACTTTTTTAATACATATGTCAACATCAAATTCAGAATCATACAAAATATATATATATATATATATATATATATATATATATATATATACTAGCTGACCTGGCAAACGTTGTTTTGCTAAATAAGGTATATTCTAAACCATTTCTAGAGAATCAAAAATATTAATACTTTAAGTGCATAAGGATGCGTTGTTTGAATGCTGTATACAATTAGGTATTATAAAAACAATAAACCCCATTAGTTTGTCTATATTTTGTCAATACAATCAAACTGCAAGTTTTATACACTTTCTATAGAAAACATCGTATAATCGAATCCGAATCTTTTTTGGTCTTTCGGCTTATTAATTACGTTTCAAGTTTTTCAGATTCTTTTTGGATTCTGGATTTTCTGTATAATTGTAAATAATACTACTGAGCTTATACAAAATTTTCAAATTTTCGCGAGGAGAGATAAAAAATGAATTATTTCTTCTTTGACCTGCTTTTTGAAAAGTTTCAAGTTACATTCAATTAATTAAAGTAAATTTAATAATAAAATAAGTATATATGTAGAGCAGGGCGAGACACAAAGGTCCAATTTGACTTTGAGCAAATATAAACTATATTGTGAAAACCATAACAATTATATCACAACAAATAAGACATATCAAACGAACAATTTTCTGACTACGTTCAGTAAACTGACTTCTACTTCATCATTGTAGAAATGTGTTTTTTTGATGTCTTCCAAAAATTTGTCACTAGAACTTTTTATCCTATATGCGGGGTAACTTGTAACGGGCAGGTGGCAAAAGGTTTAAAGCCTTATTATAATTTTAAAGGTATTTTACAAAATAATTACATTTTTAACTAATGCTAAAACTACCAACGGAAGAAAATACTTTTATTATGGATTTTCAAAGATTATCTCCCCCATTTCAAAGATTATCGTTTTCAAATCAAGGTTGTAGCTGGCTATACATCTTTTTTCCTCTACTTTCAAATATAGTTGTTAAACTTTGCTTAACTTTACTGATTTTTGGCACATCGGTGGTCGACCTTTTTAATCCCGGACCTTCATATATTAATATCTATTCTGCGATAAATTCTGGGAAATTATAACTGGAAAAATGTTGTTCGACAAAATGTCCATTTGATCTATACCAAATTTAGGCTCTGAATTTAAATAACATAAATAAAAAATAATATAACTTAGAAAATATTTTATAAATACCAATGAGTATGATATAATTATACAAATGAGATCTTTCAGAGCACCGTGTTTGAGAAAAATATACCAAAAAGTGCGTTTTCATATTAACATATCAAAAAAGTTTATATTTTGAGTCTCTAGTAACACTTGCGGCCCGTTTGCTAACGTTTTTGTATATTAATAAAACTACAAACAAAACTACTTACTTTAAATTTATCATAATTAAATAATATTCGCGTAAAACATCCTATTAAACGTAATTGAACATCATCTGTCAAAAGCGTTTGACATTTCACGAAATTGCCACCGTCCATTGTTTTATTTAAATTACGCTTCTACAAAAATTTTCAAAGTAAAAATGTAAAGTTTCTACGCGGATTTGAAATAATTTCTCACCTTTTGGACTTTCTCTGGATTGGCACGAATTTTTAAAGACTAAGACTGGCCAAATCGATTCTGCCGTTTTCGAGTTTTATTCGGACATTTGACAGAGAGCTCCATTTTTATATATAAGATATATATATATATATATATATATATATATATATATATGATTTAGTTGTTAATTTTGATGTTGAGATATATGAGTAAGTTTTTGAGGGTGAAACATCAAACAAAGAAAAGCAAAGATTTATAAAAAAAATCTTCAATTTCAAACGTTTCGACATGCAATTTGATGTCATCATTAGTGGATATTGAACTTGGTATTTAATATCTATAAAGGTGTACACTCACAGAATTTTGCACTAACCTTATTATAAAATATTTAATAAAAAATAAAATATTGAATATTTGGTTATGAATAATAAGATATATATTTGAACTATTTGATTTGCTTATATATTTTTAAGAAAATATTATAAACTTTTTTTTCAGATTGAATCAACGAATTCTCTCGACGGAGGACAATATATATCTCGATATGAGTGGAACATCTTACACAAATATCACAAACGTACCATTTTTACTACAATTGAATAACGCAGACTTGACGGCAACATTAATTGATAATATCAAGTATTTTTTTCCTGGAAAAAGAAATGAAAAAGATTCATTGATGTATACGACTCTTTGGGTTGTAGCCGATTTAAATACTAATTCGGGTAGAAAAATACTGCTGTCAGCAATGAAATATATGGTATATATATTTTTTTTGTTATTTACTTTGAATGAATAAGTAAGCAACTCAGCCACACTTATCGTTCGTATTTCCACTATTTCTCCACAATTTTAATTTAGTAGTCATGGGTATGAAATAATACAAAATTACATATTGAAATGTAGTCAACGCTCTCACTAATTCAGAGCTACCATATTATCATCATATAATCCTAAAATATTTTACTCAATGTGAAAAAAAAAATCATCTCAGTTGCACACAACTTCAAATGCATATACTATTAAGAGGATTTTGTACCTATTACTGTTTCTGCAAACCTCATATTATTTGCCTGTCCACATTTAAATTAAATACACTTATTAATATGTTACAGAAGTCTAGCGGAGTTGTTCGGCTAGCTTTTATTCCTAATGCCGAAGTTAAGGAGAAGTATGACATAAACAAGCTTGTCCTTGCTGCTTTAGAAACAATGGCACCTGTTGAAGCTGAAGATTATATAATGAAACTTCTTCAGCAAAGACCTCAAGAATATTCTGTTGATGATCTGGGTTTTTCGGTAATATTCCTCAAAGACATTTTTTTGTGAAACATTTTTGAAATCTGACATTTAATATGATCAAATGAATTTTTACTTATAGAAGCATCATACGTCTTGCATATTATACATTGAACAATAAACTAGTGGGGCGCATGGCAAACTATAAATTTTTGACAAAAATTTACTTTTTATGAAAAAAAAAACTTTTAGAAAAAAAATGTTTTCTTTATTTTGAAATTTTTTGGAAATTCTGAACTTTTTTTTTCAAAGCAACCTTACTGCTTTAACTGCGTAGAGATGAAATATCGAAGCGCGTAAGCGGCATGTCGTCGTCTAACGGATAAACATTAGTACGGAACCCATAGGAATGTAAACAAAATGTATACTTATTGTTAAAATCTATATAAAATATCTGATAATTTTATGTATATATGTCTAATGATCATTTTTGACCGCCAAATGGCATTTTTTTACTTTTTTTACTACATCTCCGAAACCGCTAGACCTGCCTTCATAAAAATTTGACCAATTTTTCTCCTTGTCAATACAAGTAAAATGTAATTATTAAAATCGGACGCTTCGTTCTCTTAGAAACTGAGTTACTGTTTGTGGCACTTTTTGCCCCGTATCTTCGAAACGGCTAGACCTGCCTATGCCAAAATCTAATCAGTCTCCTTATCAACAGCAATCGAATGTTTTTTTAATGAGTGAAATCGGTTGAATCGAAGTCGTCGAGGAAAATTTGTATCCGCACACACACACACACACACACACACATACATCCACTTTTTCTAAGGTATGCCAAAATATTCAGAAACCTTTGAAACGTAGATATATAAAAATTTTCATTTTCGATTTTTTGCGATTACTATAACATACGCTACGGGAAGTTAATAATAATAATATATTTTAATAATCTTAATTATTATAAATACTGCAAATTTTATCATTCATATTTTATAGATAGATTATAATATAAATGCTTATATTTGGGCGGCGACGTTTATATATGTTTGCAACAAATATAAACAAAACAATATTTGAAAACCTAAAAAATCCTATTTTTTTATTTCGAAAATTTTGAAATTTGCTGTAAATCTAAAATTTTAAAGTTATTTATAATTTGTGAAAATTTCGATTTTGTTTAATTTAAAAAAATTCTTATTGAAAAAAATTTGAAACAAATCGAAAAATTGTTTATTTTTGAAAATTTCGGAATTTTTCATGTCAACAATATTTGAAAACCTAAAAAATCCTATTTTTTTATTTCGAAAATTTTGAAATTTGCTGTAAATCTAAAATTTTAAAGTTATTTATAATTTGTGAAAATTTCGATTTTGTTTAATTTAAGAAAATTCTTATTGAAAAAAATTTGAAACAAATCAAAAAATTTTTAAATTTTGCGTAAAAAATGAAATAAAGTGTAACAAAGTGTGTGAAATGTTACAAAAAGCCTATGGTGAGTCTGCTATGAAAAAAACAAGTTTCCAAGATGGCCGCGAAGACGTTGAAGATGACGAACGCTCCGGTCGACCCAGCACGTCAACAAACGATGAAAATGTGAAAGAAGTGGAAAAAATGGTTATGAATGATCGCCGAATCACAATTAGAGAAGTTGCTGATGAAGTTGGCATATCAATTGGCTCATGTCATAACATTTTTTCAAATGTTTTGGGCATGAAACGAGTGGCAGCAAAATTCATTCCAAAATTCCTCACTCGTCGTTGCTTGTTCGTAATTTTTTGGCCAAAAACAATACCGTAGTCATGCCCCAACTTCCATATTCACCAGATATGGCTCCGTGTGACTTTTTCCTATTCCCAAAGTTGAAGAGACCCATGAAAGGACGGCGGTTTTCCTCGATTGAAGAAAATCGCCGAGAGTGCTCAAGGACATATCAAAAAGTGAATATCAAGGGTGCTTCGAAAATTGGAAAAAACGCTGGCATAAGTGTATTATATCTGGGGGGGACTACTTTGAAGGGGACCACATTAATGTAGACGAATAAATAAATATTTTTTTGAAAAAACGAAAATTCCGGGTACTTTTTGAACAGACCTCCTATATACTCGTATATATATAAACATACACATATGTAAACTCGTATATATGTAAAGCAAAAAAATATTTAAGAAGATGGATAATACATATAAAATACAAGTGGACTTACATTACGTTGGTAGGTTACATCTAGAGAAGTGTACACAACACTAGAGATTGGCACTAACATTTATACAACTAACTTGTCAACACCATGCATTTTTTATAATTTTTTGTATGATGTAAACAGAAAAATGATAGTTTTATTTGAACAAAAATGTAAGTGGAATTATGTAATTTCTGCCACGACTTCTGTACTTTGCGCGTACCGAGGCATGTGTGAGCGCCACACGTGTTTTGAAAGATTTTTAAGGGTCATTCAAGGATTGTTATGAGTGGGTAGGTGGAAAAACGGTCGAAGTTGAAACTAGTAATGTTAGGCTAGGTTTGTATGGTTAGAATTAGTTTTTTTAAGAGGAGAAAAAAATTGGAAATGTTATTTAGTATTACTAGGAAGTTATACTAATAACTCAAATATCTAAAATAAATTTTTTTAAGGGTTATTCAAAATTTGCTATGCATGGGTAGGTAAAGCTCGGGTTTCAAGGCCGAAGTTAAACTAGTAATGTTGGCAAGGTTAGTATGGTCAGAATTAGTTTTGTTCAGAGGAGATAAATTTGGAAACATTATTTAGTATTACTTGGTAGTTATCGCAGAGTAAGGAGGTATCAGATCTTTTGTTTACCGCGTGATCACATACTGATATGAAACAAGATTCTGCAAAACGTCTGTGAATGGTGTTCCGTTCATGGTAGAGAATACTGGCATTATAAAAGTTAAAGGAGTGTTTGAAATTTTTGATGTGTTCTGTTATCATAGTTTGGTTTTGGTTGGGGTTTTTCGAATTATTGTCGTGTTGTTTGAGTCTTTTTAATAAATTTTGTCCGGTTTCACCTATGTAAGTAGAAGGGCAATCATTGCAATTTATTTTGTAGACAATATTGGATGTACGTTCTATACTAGTGGGAGATTTCAGGTTTGTGTAGAGGGATTTAAGAGTTAGATCTATGTTGCAAGTTAGTCTGATGTCTACCTTATGAAAAAGTTTTTTCCACGCTGGAAAAAGTTCTTTTATGTAAGGTAAACAAACGTTGCCTATATAGTTATTGTCTTTAGAATTTTTTTCTGGGGAAAAAGAAGAATGCATACTGTTGAGGGTTTTAAGTCTGTTGGAGGTGACGGAGTTGATGAGGTGCGGTGGATATGAGTTGTTAATTAAAGTCGTGCGGATGAGGGATAAGTTAGAGGGCCAAAATTGTTTGTCTGAGAGTAAGATGGCATGGTCGCCTAAATTAATAATAGTGCCTATCTTCATGCTAGAAAGGTGGTAAGAATGATAATTTAAATACCTACCCGACCAAGTAGGTTTTTGGAACCAATTAGTGATAATTCGATTGTCTGTGGTTTTTATAATTTTTACGTCTAAAAAGCTGATAGAATTTTCTTGTTCTTTTTCAAACGTAAAGGAGAGATGCTCATTAAATGAGTTAAAACTATGAAGTAAAAGTTCGAAATTTTTAACAGGAACACAGGTAAGGATGTCATCAACGTATCTGTAATAAAAATGAAGGTCTAGATTGTAGGAATTAAAAACTTTCAACTCTAAGTGTTGTAAAGCAATTTCTGCGAGTGACGGGGATATAGGAGAACCCATAGGTGTGCCAAATATTTGAAGGTAAAAATGGTCGTTGAATTCGAAATAAGTATTCGAAACTATGAATTTTATGGACTCGAGAAACCAATGCAGTGATAACGTTGTATGACATGAGATTTCGTCCCATCTAGCAGTGATGGCATCTAAAATTAATTGTAGGGGGACGTTTGTGAATAGGGATACTACGTCAAGACTAACCAATAAGGAATTATCAGGAATAACGAAATCGCGGAGATTGTTGACAAGTTCAAAGGAGTTTTTTGTAAAGAAACGAGACTTGACTGTGACTGAAGAGAGTATGTTGCTTAGGTATTTGGAGAATTTTGAAAGAGGTGAGTTCAGGTCAGCCATGATAGGTCTGAGAGGAACGTTGTGTTTATGTATTTTGTAAAATACTAATTTTGTAAATAATTCCTTATTGGTTAGTCTTGACGTAGTATCCCTATTCACAAACGTCCCCCTACAATTAATTTTAGATGCCATCACTGCTAGATGGGACGAAATCTCATGTCGTACAACGTTATCACTGCATTGGTTTCTCGAGTCCATAAAATTCATAGTTTCGAATACTCATTTCGAATTCAACGACCATTTTTACCTTCAAATATTTGGCACACCTATGGGTTCTCCTATATCCCCGTCACTTGCAGAAATTGCTTTACAACACTTAGAGTTGAAAGTTTTTAATTCCTACAATCTAGACCTTCATTTTTACTACAGATACGTTGATGACATCCTTACCTGTGTTCCCGTTAAAAATTTCGAACTTTTACTTCATAGTTTTAACTCATTTAATGAGCATCTCTCCTTTACGTTTGAAAAAGAACAAGAAAATTCTATCAGCTTTTTAGACGTAAAAATTATAAAAACCACAGACAATGGAATTATCACTAATTGGTTCCAAAAACCTACTTGGTCGGGTAGGTATTTAAATTATCATTCTTACCACCATTCTAGCATGAAGATAGGCACTATTATTAATTTAGTCGACCATGCCATCCTACTCTCAGACAAACAATTTTGGCCCTCTAACTTACCCCTCATCCGCACGACTTTAATTAACAACTCATATCCACCGCACCTCATCAACTCCGTCACCTCCAACAGACTTAAAACCCTCAACATTATGCATTCTTCTTTTTCCCCAGAAAAAAATTCTAAAGACAATAACTATATAGGCAACGTTTGTTTACCTTACATAAAAGAACTTTTTCCAGTGTGGAAAAAACTTTTTCATGAGGTAGACATCAGACTAACTTGCAAC